AGCACAAACAGGCGCCGCTCCCCGTGGTCTCCCCGACCCTCCCTACTGCCCTCCTGGCCCCCAGGCGTCCCTCCTTACCTAGCACGGTCAGCCGGGTGCCCGGGCCGAAATACTGAGTATCTGTGCTCACAGCACCGAGGCCCGGGACAAAAACCCGGCGCTGCCCTCGGCTACTGCCCGGGACTCAGCCAGATCTCCGCAGAACCCAGAGTCCCCGACCCAGTGTCGCCCTGCCTCTGAGCACAGCCCAAGTGGAACTGGGTAGCTGCCCCCCCCCCGCCTCCATCCTGCCCCACGGAGCGCTCTGGACCCCCAACTGCCCTCCTTACCCAGCACGGTCAGCTTGGAACCTTTCCCAAAGTACAGCTGTCCGGTGTTTGCACAGCCCTGGGGACCCAGGCGCAAACCCCACCTTCTGGGACTTGGGCCCCTTGGAGGCTCCAGTGCCCACTCCCTGAGGGCCAGTATTCAGGGGGTCGTCCAAGTGAGAGTCCACCCTCCCTCCCACCTGGAGCAGCTTCTTACCGAGCACCGTGAGCCGGGTCCCTGGCCCGAAGTATTGCTCAGCATAGGAGCACAGTGGGAAGGGGCTGCCAAGAATTCCTCCCCCCTCCACACACACACAGTTCCCCATCCCCCTTGGCGCAGCCTAAGCACCTCCCTCCTCCATCCTGGCTTCTCACCACCCCCCCCCCATCTCCAGATGTAGCTGGACATGGGAATCTGGACACTGTCAGGTCACCCCCAATTCACAAAGGAAGTCAACTTGGCTTGAGGACAATACAGTGGCGGTGAAATCTGAAGGGTTTATTGGTGGTGGTTGGGCTGGAGTGGGCTAGACCCTGCCTCATGCTGCTTATAGTCCCTGTGGCCTAAGTTCTTCATTGGAAAAGATGGAGCAAGGTCTTTCCCACGGGGCTGCTGTGAGTTCTTGATGAATGCTGCATGTGCTACTTTGTCAAAGGGCAGGTTTTAGAGACAGTTGAATGAGATCTCACTTTGTTGCCTTGGCCCTTGGCATTCTGGGAAGTTGAGTCTGGAGCAGAGAGATGTAGAAGTGTTCACTGAGTCAGGGTGCCTGCAAGACCTTCTGGGACCAGCCTCAGAGACCTCTCCCAGCTACTCTCCCCATCAGGAGCGTATCTCCTGTGCTGGGTGGACGCATTTTCTGAGGCAGGGCTTTTTGTAAAAGCACCTCCTCTACTTGAATCATTGTGGCCCCCCCAGTTGCCACAATGCTACACCATGATACAAAAATGTTTTCTTCCGTCTAGCCCCCCTCCCTCAACCACTGAGCAGAGGCAGGAAGCACAGGTGGCAGAGGTTGGTCTGATTGAGTGGGGCTGGGGAAAGACAGAGTACACTTAGAGTGGGGAGGGGCTTGGGAAAGGTTATGGTGCCAGTGGGGATGGGGGGCAGAGAGGCCCCTCCCTAGAACATACACAGCTCTGAGGAGGTCTCCTATGTCATCAGGTCTCCCCTCTGAGACTCACCGTGCCCACCTGCACATTTATAGTCAGGCGATGTAGGAGGAGCGAGGGGTGGGATCTATAGAGCAGGTGATGGCTACTTATGGCACCAGGACAGCACCCCAGAAACCTCTGTAATTCCCCATTGCTTCCTGAACAAAGTCCAAGCTCCTTAGCCTTCATTGATTCCACAGATATTTAATGAGCATCTACTATGCGCCAGGCCTCATGCTGGTCCATCTTCCTTTCAGCCTTATGTTTTATGACTCCTGTCTCTGAACCTTGTACTCAACTACACTGAAGTACCCAGTCCCATTGTTTCGACTTTTGTTTATGCCTCTGACAGTCATTACCACTTCCATTCTTCCTTTGAAGAGTTTTCCAGCTTCTCAGACTTTTCCCAGTCAGAAAGTTGAGCACTCGCCTCTGACTGCATTTCAGTAGACAGCTTGCATTGCTGTTTCAAAGCATTGCCTGTATTTCAGCTATTTCTAGTCATGAATCATCCCCTTTAGGAAAAGGTAGGCTTGGAGACTGTGACTTGGATATCTTTGTTTTCTTGAAAGTTCATAGAAAAACATTGCAATCTATGTATTCAATGAGTTAATATATATATGTACATAGATGTGCACACACATTTGAATGTATGCATGTGTTACAATGGTGAGGGAAGGCTGTGTTCTGTAGCCTTGTAGATGGCAGGGTATGTGGCTATTTCAGGCAGGCTTGTGTTATACCTGCTCCCAAACTGGGTCACTTTGGGCTCACTCATTTATTCATTCACTTATTCAAAGATAATTTATTGGGTTTCTACACTGAACTAGGGTACTATGCCATATCCCAGGGATGCGGTAGTAAAACACAGCCTTGTTATCAGGAGCTGACCATCAAATGGGGTTGTCAGACAAGTGAAGAGGTAGTTTGCATCAAGTGTGGTATCAGGAAGGAGGTGTGCACAACGTACAATGATAGCAAAATATAGGGTGCATTCAACCCAATCTTAAGAGAATAAGGGGTAAGGAGCTCCAAAGAAGGCCTCTTCAGGGAAGATACTGAGCCAAATATTTAAGTAAGTAGGAGTCAAGAGTACTGAGTCATTCCAGGTAGAGGAGTGCAAAATGGCCTGGAAGCAAATTGCTCAGGGGGTTTGGTGATGAGAGGAGTGAGGTGAGTGTGGACTAAGAAGGTGGAGGACAATTGTGGGTCTTTCATGCCATCCTAAGAATTTTGGACTACATGATCATGGTGACAATGAGACAACAAAGAAGTTTTGTAGGATTTCTAGAAATAGCAATAAGGTTGATCTTGGATTTGGAGAAACTTTATTTTCTATCCTTCTGGGCATGATCAAGGGGCATCTTCACAACTGTTAGTTCACTAGAGAGAAATAGATAAACTGATTTGTAACTTAAAAAAGTGAAGACACAGCTGCTGAGGATAAATCTCCAGGTCAGTGCATTTTGTTCCCAGCTGGGAAACCTGGTTGGTGATGAATGGAGAGGAGAAATGTGCTCAGTGAGACAGCTGACAGGGACAGGAATGACATATGGAAAACCAGGCTTTGATAGCCAGGAGGACATAACCAGTTGGTGGATTGACACACCTATGTAGGTCAGCTCTTCCACAGAGCACCTTTGTCCAGGTAGGTCAGCAGATTCCTATGGTCAGCATCACCATTTTTCTAGTCTGTTTGGGAGTAAGCCTCTTCACGTCCCATCACCACCTTTCGCATTTCTTAAGTTCCCCACAGAAGGAGCAGTGCCAGTCACAGGCTGGGTCCCTGGGTACCTGAGGGGGCTGCACTTTCCTTGACTACCTCTTGTTTCTATCCTAACTGGAGTCCATGAGAGTTTAGAGATGGAAAAAAGAGATATGTAGACACTCAAGGCAGAATCAAGCCAGAACAGGCCATTTTTATTGGTTCAGTCAATGTAGGCACACCAGGGTCCCCTGGGGTTAGGGAGATTTTAGTCATGAATGTTCAGCTATGCAAGTATATAGCGGGTGGATATCAGGATGAGTTGAGAGATTGAGACAGCTCTTCTGAAGCGCTGGCTAGGAATGGAAAAAAGGGAATCCATATTGGGGAGATAACAGGCTGGAAGTTCCTGGCTGCACCTCTGAGCTGGTGTCAGGAATTCTTTCTCTTGACCTGAAGAGGAGAAGAAGGTTTTGGAGTTACCTGGAGTGTTGGGGACTTAGAGGAAGCAGGATGGCCCATTGACTAGATGAACAGGGCTCCTCATAACTAGGTTTCAGGTGGCCCCAGCTTCT